CAATCACCCGACCGAACCAACCAATAATCAATGACCAATGAACCCCCTCTAGAAGCCAAACATCTCATTCTTCACCAGAAAAGAAGTAGCCAGCAGCAGATGAATAAACCTTCCACCATGGCCAAAAGAACAAAATCTCTACCACCAGAAGAGAGCAGGACACTCACATAACCAGAAACAAGAGAAACCAAAGACAAAGACAAAGAAACAATCACAGACCAAAGGGAACCCCGTAAACCAAGGAGAAGAAAGAAACAAATGAACACAGTTCAGAGACAATGCAAGCTCATAAACAGTATATATTAGAACATGGCAACAATGGAGTTCTAGGCCTTCTGAGGACTAGCCCAAGAACCTGGCTTCCTCAGAGAGGAAGCCAGGCATGTAGTTGGAAGCGTTCTAAATCTTCCATAGAGGGCATGGAGGATGGCTCTGCCCCGGGGCCTCTGTTGCAGGTTCCTGGGGCTTTGGGGAATGCCTGCTTGCAGTTCTGACTCTGTTTGCCCCTGCCTGGGTCTTCTGCATCTGGGCGGGGTTTATCATCCCTCTAGTTTGCTTGTTTCCCACATTTGCTGGCATGTTTCTGGCTCTATTGCGTCGGTCATGGCTCCTTGGTGTGGTGGCCACTTTCTTTAATGCGGATAACTGCCTGCTTGGCCACCAGGGCGGTGCTGCGGTTAGTTTACCTCAGCTGGGGTGTGGGAGCTCGCATTTTGGATGAGTTTTTTCACTCCTTTCAGGGGTTTTATCCTCCTATTGCCGTTTCTTTGCTTTTCTGGGGTTTTATGCGTATCTTCTGTTCCTTTGGAAATGCTTGGATGTTGGTTTTACACCGGTTTTTGCATTTTCTGTCTGTTTTGGGTCTGTGCCCTAGGGTTTGGGCTCAGTGTCCCTGTCTGTTTATGCTTGCTCCCACACCTTGTTCTCTAGTTTTTGGTCTGTTTTGGCCGTTTCCCTGGGGATTCTGTCTGGGTGCTGTGTTTTGCCCTGCTGTGGTGTAATTCCGCCGGCAAATGTGGTAGTTTGGGCTTCCCCAGGTTCGATTCCGGGTTCCTTTGGGTTCTTTGGTTTCGTTCCAGAGGTTTCTTCCTCTTGGGATCCCTTTGTGGGTTCAGGGGGCTTTTGTTACCTCATTTGTGACCCGGTTCTGCCTTCTAGGGTTCCGAGGTCTTCCTGGTTTGCAGGCTGATCTTTTGGGGACTTAGCACATGTTGTGGTCGTGCCGGGGCCTTGGGTTTTTGTTGTCGAGGTGGGCCTTTTGGTGCTGTTTTTGTGCTCTTGGTGCCTTCTTCATCTGGCCGGCGTGGTGCTCTCTGCCGACTGGTCGGCGGCTTGTCTTTTCTTTTCTTTAATGTAATTTTTCAATTTTATTTACATGTATGTATGTTTTTATGCATTTTGTGTGTATGTATATATTTATTTATATGTATATATATGTACATGTATGTATGTGTGTATTTATATATATACATTTTCTTTCGGAAGGGGTTCCATTCCGTTCGCTGTTGATGGGGCGCTGGGGGAGCAGCTTGCTCTGTTGGCTCTCGCTTGTGGTTGTCTTCCAGCCTCTGGTGGTGTCAGGCGGCTTCTGCCCCCTTTGGAGGGTTCGGGGCAGGCGGGATGGGCATCTCCTCTTGCGCTTCATCATGTCATCTTGGTGTGGGTGTGTTGGACGTGGTCGTTGTGCCCCATCTTTCCGAGGTTTCCGCCTGTTCCAGTGCAGACATGGGCCTTGCGGTTGGTTCTTCTGGATTTATGCAGTCTGTGTCCTGGATTCTTTGCCCTCTTTGGAAGACTGTTGTCTCCGGTCCGGCTTCTGTTGCGGTCGGGGGCCTGGATGGTGTCCCTGGACCTATGGGTCACTTTTTGGCACGTTCCTCTCCAGGGTTCAGGCACTGGCACAGTTAGTGGTGAGGCTTCAAGCGTGCTGCTTTTGTTGCCTTCCCTAGTTTGTAATTGGCACTTAGTGTATTTCGCATCTTTACCGGATCTTGGTGACCTGTCTGCGTCTGCTCAGGATTCGCTTTCTCGCCTACTTTGAAGACTGACTGGTTTGGGCTCACAGTCGGTCAGGTTGTCTGCTAACTAGGGGTGTGGTTCTTTCCAGACTGCCGGGTTTGGATTCCTGGTGATCTGGAGGCTGCTCCATCTGGTTCCGTCCCGGGTTCGGACCTGGCTGGGTCTTGTTTAGTTCTCTTGGACCATTTCTTTGTCTTTCCCTCCAGAAGCATTGCTGCGGCTGTGGTCCCATCTTTGGCTGTTTATGAGGGGGGTCCCGGGTCACTCGGCGGTTGCTTGAGCGGTTGTGCGGGGAGTTTAACTTCGCCGTGCTGGTCTGCCCGTCAGGTCGGGTTTGGCTTCGGCGTCTGTTTGGTTCCTTAGGGGACTCCCCTTCCACCTCTTTCGCATTCGTTGGGTTCGTCCTCCAGGGATCTTGTGTTGGTGCTGCATCACTGGCTTCCTCTTTGGGGTTTTCAGGGTTTCATGCCTTGGTGCCTCCCCGAGCCTTCGCTCGATGTGTTCACGGATGGGTCATCTCTCAGCTGGGGCTTTGTGGCCAGTGCTCACCAGGCCAACCAGGGATGGTGGGGTCCGTCTGTCCATCGGGCTCACAGCACGTTTCAGGAGTTCGTGGCTGTCTGGTTTGTGCTTCGGAGGGTTCGGGTCACTCGGGGCTCTCCCATCCGGCTCCATTTGAATTGTTTTTCGATGGTTCTTTACCTTAACCACGGGGGTTCTCTTCGGTCCTTGACCTTTGGGGTTGGTCCCTTCGGGTGGCTCGTCTGCTGGATCCTCAAGGTTTGGCTAGCAGTGCGTTTCATGTCAGGGGTCTCCTACGTCCTGGCGGACGGCCTGTCTCAGTTCATTCTTCTGTTTAATTTTAGGCCGGTCATCGTCAACTCGTTTTGTTGGCTTTGCCGGACGTATGGACTCCTGGACATGGACATCTTCGCGTTGGCGTGGTCTCGGCATCTCCCATTCTGTGGCGCCCTTACCCGCCTGCGAGGCTTTTACGGTGGATGCCTTTGGCAGGACTGGTCGAGGTGGAGTTACTTGTTCCTCTTCTCCCAGTCCAGCTGTTGCTTCGGGTTCTGGCTCGGTTGGAGTCCTTCCCTTGCAGAGTAGTCCTTGTGGTCTCTTGGTAGCCAGCCCAGCTTTGTTTTCAGACGCTGCTTGAAAGGTGTCCGAACCCGGGGCGTTTCCTGCGGCTCAGCCTCTTTTGGCAGGTCGGACCAGTCCTGTACGTGACTGGTTCGGTCTGCTCCTCAGCTCTTTGCATCTGCCCTGCTGACACGGATATATCACCATCTCACTGGTGATCAGGTGGCTTAGTTAATAGTGTCCCACCTGCGAGTTTCGTCTCGGCGACAGTATGATGTTCCTGGCGTCTCTATTCGCCATTTTCTTGCTCTTCGTAGGTTGTTTTCTCTTTCCTGAGCCGTCCTGGTCCTTGACCAGGGTGCCCTTTTATCCTTCCTCTCCTCAGTTTGTGGTAACTCCTTCGGTTCAAGATTGTTTTTCAAAGGCCATACTTTGTTGGCATTGGCCTCTGTGGGTCGGGTCGGGGAGCTTCCAGCTCTGCTCCAGCACAGAGGTTTCTGCTCTTTTAGCACAGGTGGTGGGTTTGTATGCTTGCAGCTTTTCTCCATCCTTCTGGCGATGGTCGAGATGGCTGCTTTCCGGAGGGGTCCTGGGTTATTGATGCTTGGTTGGTTCGGCCAGGGGTTTGACATGTGCTGTCCGGTTGTGGCTCTTTGCGTGCCGTGGATGGGGATGCGCTTTGGGTTGATCTGGTTCCCTTCATTCCCTGTTTTAGGGCTCGGGAAGTCTACCAGCCTGCGGTCTATCCTTGCGCCAGTGCCGTTCGGATGTTTGTAGCTTTAGCTGCCGTGTTTGGTGATGTCTTGGGCTCATTTCGGGCACGAGGATTTGGGGGTCGCACAGGTTCCTTGCCACCCGTTCATTTGTGAGCGTGTCTTCTCCTGTGCGTTCTTGTGTTGCTTTGGGTTGCTGGTGGCTGCCTGTTGTCTGGCCTTCGCGTTGCGGAGTTTGTGGCGGCCGCCTTCCAGGTCAGCCCTTGCTTTTCCTTCTCTTTGGGTATGAAGCTCCAGGGAGCTGTAGGGGCTCCCCACAGAAAACCAGCATTGAATGTAATGAAACACCATTATCTGGGTGAGCTCCGGAGGCTCCCTAGCAACCCTCCCTCCCACTTGTCGGTGTTTTTTTTGCGTTGGTTGAAACTTAGCTTCCGAACTGGTGCTAGGTAGCCGGTGCGGTGAGTTCCGGAGCCCCTCCTCCCCCTCTCAGGGTGGGGATGGCTGTGCGGACAATCGGCGCAGCAGTAAAGTGTGATGTTTGCTTGTTTCCTTGGGATTGTAGGGAGTTTCTACCTCTCTGGTTGATACCTGGTTGATACCTGGTTGATGGGGTTCTGGGAGTTCTTCTACTCCCCAAGCCCGGCCCGAGGCCAGGCTCGACTTGTGAGAGTTTGGTCCACCAGGCTGTTGCTTGGAGCGGCCCGCAGGCCCACATACCCACCACAGCCCGGTTGGTCCGGTTGTGGCTCCAACCACAGCCACAACCAGGCTGTTTTGACAACCTCTGTTCGTATTTTTGTTTTAGTTTCTTACCATGTGGGGATTGTTTTGTTATGCCTACCTTTCTAGGTGTCTAACCCCAGTCGATGGCAGATAAGCAAAACCCCGAATCACAAGGGGATTTTCCAGGGCCATTGCTCCCAGAAACCTCTCTGAAGAGGCTAGGTTCTGGCGCTGGTCCCTGGTAGGTCTGAACTCCATAGCTAATGTCCCGGTCTAATATAGCATACATTAGCCCGATAAGCTCCAGGGAGCCTCCGGGGCTCACCGAGAAAATGGTGTTTCATTACATTCAACGCTGTTTTTTTCATAATTGTGTGAAGTACAGTATGTCTTACTCTAAATGTACTTTGACTTTTTGTTGTATACTACATTTGCTGCATTTTCTTTTCTATTTTTCAGTGTGATAGAGAGTGTGGAGGTGGTACTAAACATCGTAAAATTCTTTGCTATGTAGGCAAGAAGCTTGCAACAGCTGTGCAGTGTGACAGCAATATCATTCCCTATTCCATTGACTCCTGCAACAACAACCCTTGTGGTGATGGTGAGATATATGAGTGCTTGCAAATGTAGATGAAGTTGTATTATTTGTTTGACTTTTTTATATTTCTTCTGAGGTGGTCATATTATTTACTTTTATCATCAATTTACTGTAGATGAGGTGCTGGACGTGGGAGGCAGCGTTGATGTAGAGAGCGAAGATGATGAGTCTTGGTGTGATGGAGATGAGGTGAGTAATATTTTGTATTATAGTGTATGCACTCTTAAATGATTCATTTAAATTAATTTAATGTCAAAATCCTGTACAATAAATTAATATATAGTAATGTAAATTATTCAGGTAAAATTTAAGTCATTTTATTGTAATCTATGAAATATGCATTCCTTTGTTTTGATAAATTTGTTATGGAAGGAACTAAAAGAAAAATCATGCATTGACGGGAATGAAATGACCTTTCCGGTGGGCCCTCAGTAGCTCCATGAACTATAAAAAACTGGTGCTGCATTAGGAATTACACCAGGCCACTCTTGGCTCACTCTATTAGACAAGAAGAGCATGGGTATCGAAGGATATCCTAAAACTGAGTAGAAACCCAACAGAAAGAATAGGCACAACAAAATGAGCAACTGCTTTAAGAAAATTAGGTACCCTTAGGTAAAGAAGGCAAAAATATCATAGTTGTGGGATAAATACCATCACATTGAACTTCATTAATTCTTCAGCTGCTACAGCCTTAATAGTGATCAATATTGGTGTGCGCAAGACAAAAACAAGTTAAACAAAAAATTTGTTTTATAAAAGTATTCATTTGTGTTCCCTGACCACAGGAGGGGATTATCTTGAGATGATTTCGGGGCTTTTAGTGTCCCCGCGGCCCGGTCCTCGACCAGGCCTCCACCCTCAGAAAGCAACCCGTGACAGCTGATTAACACCCAGGTACCTATTTTACTGCTAGGTAACAGGGGCATAGGATGAAAGAAACTCTGCCCATTGTTTCTCGCCGGTGCCCGGGATCGAACCCGGGACCACAGGATCACAAGTCCAGCGTGCTGTCCGCTCGGCCGACCGACCTGGAGGATCATAGGTGACATATTTTGGCCACAATAGGGTAAAGAAGTCTGGCAAAATTGAGGTGTTGACAGAATAATCGTCTGAGGCAGTCAGCTCCACCTGAGCTGTCAGGCGGGAGTTGCCACAGAGGTATTATTACCTAATTATTTCAATGTTTTTTATTTATTTTTTCTTAGTTTTTCTGTGGAGAGCCCCTTCGGCTCCCCGAAGCTATACTGAGCTGATGTGTGTATATATTAGACTGTGGCAACAGTCAATCAGTGGAGTTTTAGGAGCAATAGCCTATAGACACCACCACGTAATTGGAAGCAGTCTTATGTTTGCAATCTACCAGGTCAGGCACCTAGAAAGGTAGGAATTCCAAATCAAACTACAGACAAGCAAACAAGCATGACACCACTGCAGCCACTGCTTTCTACGCAAATTCCCCCTCCCCGGGAGGGAGAAGAGGGGTCCCAGACCTCCCATGCTAGCTACCCTACTCCAGTTCACAGGCTGTTGTGTTTGGTGGCAGTTGGCCGACTCTGGCTCCATCCTTTTGAGCAGTGCTGTCCATAATGGTGTTGTTCTACTGTGTGGTGATGTGTGAACCAGGAGTAACACAAGAGTACTGGGGCTGCATGCACCTAGGGCCACTTTCCCTAGGTGCCCTGTAAGTACTGCCCTTACAGTTTAGGGTTACCTTCCATGAACCATTCAGGAGGCTACCTCCGTGTGGTTCTTTTGCTACTTCGTGATTGCCCGCCCTTGGGGTTCAGCTGAGGTTTTCTTACTCCTGTTTGACCATGGGTAGGAGGTAGCATTGTCACTGTGGGGCATAAGGTATTGTGCAGCTGTGTGATATATACATAGCGATCGTTTCTGTTCCCCTGGAGACTTTGTGCTTTTGTGGGGGTTTTCTTTTGTTTTGTTTTGCTTTGCCTGGTGGGGGGTCTGCCTGGTGTAGCTGTAGGACCACTTGTATGCTTTTGGTGGCCCTCTGCTAGGTCCCTGTGATTGCTCACGTTGCAGGGGGTTTAGCTTTTGTTTGTTTGCTTGGTAGCTCTGGGATAGCCAGTTAGCAGTACTGTGCCTGGGCTTCCCTTAGCAGTCAGTCAAAGGGTCCTAAGGGCTATGAGCCTTTGGGGCTCATTGGTCAGATGGAGGAGACCTCTTGAGTCCCACCTCGCTTCGTGTGAGTTTGAAGGTTGCTCTGTCCCCTTGTCTCAGGGTGACATTCACCTTCTTTGCCCTCGCCATGCTGCCTGTTGGGTCAATGACACCTTTGACCTGGAGTCCTGCGAGTGGTGTTCCTTGCTTGTACCTCAATTTGCCCAGTCCACTGATGATGATATTCGGGTGCAGGCAGCTTCAGTGTTGCATATGCAGTGTAGGTTGCTGCAACAAGCTAGGTTGGTTGCCTTAACCCCTTAACTGCGTTGCCTCCAAATGTGACACCCCCGCAGTGCGCAGGAAATAAATTCTCTGGAAAAAATTCTTTTTTCTTTTTAAAGTGTCAAAAACCTTTCCCTCAGTATGGGTATGTAAAAAAAAAGTCGAAATTGTACTTACTTTGGCTGCTATGGGGTCCGGAAGTTGGGGCATGACGTCATCATTCCCCGTGCGCCCGTGCCGTAATCTCTCGGGGGCGGTGGGGCGCTCGGGGCGGGGCGCGCGAGTTGCCGCGAATATATTTTGTTCATTTTTGCGCACCTTTCCAAATACATTTTCATTGTTTTTATGTGCCAATCCAATGTATAATGAACATGTACACTATAATATCGCAGTACAACATCCGTACTGTCTGTAGACACTGTGTTACGTGCATGAAACTTGTGTACACATATGCAGCACATATTTACTATGTATCATGCTAATTTGTGTATATATACAATCTATTTACATACTATACACTGTCACACACTATATTCATTCACCATCAACACATTCAGAACACAGCGTAGCAGCTGCTTCGTATGGGCCAATAGCAGCTGCCCCGTATGGGCCAATAGCAGCTGCCTCGTATGGGCCAATAGCATCTGCCTCGCATGGGCCAATAGCAGCTGCCGCGTATGGGCCAATAGGAGCTGCCTCGTATGGGCCAATAGGAGCTGCCTCGTATGGGCCAATAGGAGCTGCCTCGTATGGGCCAATAGGAGCTGCCTCGTATGGGCCAATATCAGCTGCCCCGTATGGGCCAACAGCAGCTGCCTCGTATGGGCCAATAGCAGCTGCCTTGTATGGGCCAATAGCAGCTGCCTCGTATGGGCCAGTAGCAGCTGCCTCGTATGGGCCAATAGCAGCTGCCTCTTATGGGCCAATAGGAGCATTTGGCCATGAACACATTCAGAACACCTCGAGTGAGAGCAGCCACACCCAGCCAGTCTCCCTCACTCCAACATCTTACTCGCCAACATTGCTCCTCCCACCATATTTTTATAGTTCTTATTACACGTGTTCTATATACCTATCTACATGTTTTATTTACCAGAACTATGCAAGTAAGCCGGTATTGTGTCCAAACAGTACAGTGGCCACCATACACTGCATGAAAAATCACACAGCAGACGACGCTACGATTACGTCACCTCCCTCACCAAAATAGCTCCTCTCAACATTCTCCTGCTGCTGTTCTTACACTATATACACACACTATATATACCCATGTACATATGTGTTGCCCATAGCGAACCACTAAGCTAGTATGGTGAGCAAAACAAGAGTGGCAGCCACACACACACAATGAGGCTACCTCAATTCTCGCCCTCCCTCCCTCATCAAAATTCCTCCTTCCACAATACTACGCATAACGCTAATTATAACCACAATCCTGCTATTATCACAATCCTGGTCACTAATTCCTGTAAATGAATAATTGACCACACATTTATTTTGAAAAGGAACCTAAGAAATCATTTGAAGATTCCTAGATGAACGAAATAATGCTGTGGTGCTGTGGCTAGCGCTGTGAACATCGTGAACAGCATTGAATCAATGATATTTGAACATTGTACCCAGTCATTATCACACTCAGGCTCTAATATAACACTATCATAGCTAAATAATACAAGTTATATATATATATATATTGACATTATTAGGTGATGCTGTGGTCACATGCTGAACAGCAGTGCTGTGCGCTCATGCTGCGAGCGCCAGCCTTGGTTGCTCACACACTACTGAGGCTCCCACACCCGGGAATGTGGACCACGATTTTTTTTAAAGATGGCGTCTGTTTACAAGAGCCCTGAGCAAGCTGATGTGAACCCCATGTAGCCGCGGGAGATTTGAATGGAACGTGAAAAATACAAATACCCGGAGGCGCGTTGCGCAAACCAGACGTGAGCCTGAAGGCGCGTTGCGCAGTTTAAGGGTTAACTTATGCCCCCCCCGTGGCTTCCCGGTTTAATTATAGGAACCTGGACATGGGGGTGTTAGTCTGTTCGAACAATCATGGACATCTTCAAGAGAAAAATAGATAATTTTCTCCAAAGAGTGCAGGACCAACCGGGCTCTGGTGGATATCTGCGGGCCATTCCAAGCAACAGCCTAGTGGACCAAGCTCTCACACGATGAGCCTGTCCTCGGGTCGGGCTTGGGAAGTAGAACTCCCAGAACCCCATCAAGCAGGTATCAAGCAGGTATCAGGGCCTCACACCTGGATTCCTTGCCTCTTGGTTTCCTGTAGTCTTGCCCTTCCATTGGTCTGTTCTCAGCTTCTTGCTGTATGTTCCTGGTGACTTAGTTGGTTTTAGGCTTAGGGCTTGTTCCGGTTGTTTTGTTTGGGTGATAGCCTTTCCTCTGCTTGAGGTTGAGGTCTTTTCTGAAAGGTGCCCCTATGGCTCCATGGAGCTTATCAGGCTAATGTATTTTACATTAGACCGGGACATTAGCTATGGAGTTCAGATCTACCAGGAACCATGAGCCAGAGCCTGGCCCCTTCAGAGAGCTTTCAGGGAGCAATGAACCTGGAAAACCCCCTGTGGTTGGGGGTTTTCCTTACCTGCCATCGACCGGGGTTAGGCACCCAGAAAGGTAGGCATAACAAAACAAACCCCACATGGTAAAAAACTAAAACAAAAAAATGAACAGAGGTAGAAACTCCCAACAATCCCAAGGAAACAAGCAAACAAGCAAACAAGCAAACATCACACTTTACTGCCGCGCCGATTGTCTGCGCAGCCTTCCCCGCCCTGAGAGGGGGAGGGGGGGGA